GGACGATCAGGCCTGTGTTCTCCAAGGTGCGCAGAGCCGGAAGTGAGTCCAGAGCCTTGGCTGGTGGCAGCGGGACCCCAGGCTAGCGGGTGTGCTCCAGGGAAGGGGTCGGCCGGACGGGAGGCACCCCAGGGAGGCACTCGGAGCCTGGAAGGTGGGCGGCGCAGGGAGGTGGGCGGCTCCACGCAGGAGCGCCCCCTACTGGCACGCCACACCCAGCACGTGGCGATTTAATACGGGTCTCCTCCCGAGAGACACCGAGCAGGATTAGAAGCTGTCTCGTTGCCACTGATCACATCCGCTGTGTGCAAAGGGAGTGGCATGTGGCAGCGGGACATGGGCAGGGTTTTAACATAGGACCTGCTGTACAGGGGGACACAGGTGCATCTGCCTCTCCCTGCGATACCGGGTGGATGCTGGGGGGACATTTGTAGGGCACATCCTGCCTGCTCTGTCCCCCCTGCCTTCCCCTGGCCGTTCCCAGCCTGCAGGGGCTGAGGGAGCCCAAATTTGGAGGCTGGAGCCCTAACCAGGCTGTTGTCCCCCCACAGATGGACCATCTTCCATCAGGTGGTCCAAGCCCCTTTAGACCCTTGTGGCAGGGAGTGGGGCTGAGCCGCCCTGGCTCCATCGCACGGGGCTCCCTGCGGCTCCCGGGGAACTGAGGGGTGGGGAGGAAGCTGGGGAAGGGGCAGCAAGTGCAGGGGTGATGTGGGGGGTGCAGCCGGGAGCGCCCAGCCTCCTTCCCCCTGCCCCTCTCTCTCTCTCTCTCCCTCCCTCCCTTCCTCCCTCCCTCCTGCCACCCACCCCGGCCGGCTCCCAGGACCCAGTGCTCGAGTGGCCCTTGCACCCCACCCCCCACTGCCCACACACCCCTCGCTACCCCCCAACACAATATTCAAGCGTAAGACTTTATTTTGAGCTATGATGCAATCACCTCTATATACACAACTCAAACATGCATAAATCAGGAAAAACATATTTTTTAAAAATAAAATTAAAATGCCTTGCAGGAGATGTTTGATTTTTCATATATGATTTGCTTTTTATCTATGCTTTATTAAAATGAAAGCTATTGTGTGCGGCCCGTGACCCGATGGGCTGGGTGCTGATCTCTGGGAGCATCCATGCCCCTGAAGCCCCCGCTGCTCGTTCGAGGGTGATGGGGCAGGTCGTCAGAGGGGTCACAACCCCTTGCTGCCTGGCGGGCCGTGCCTGCGCCTCGTGGCCGAGAGCGAGGGCAGATGTCTGGGCCCCGGGGCGGCCGAGCACCGTGAGGGGACAGCCCCTCTGGACCCTCTGCTCCTGGGCACTCGCTGTTCTCGCCGGCTATCATCAAATGCCGCTGCTAACTCGGAGACCCAAAGCCTCACGGGGGAGTCTCCATGCTTGGAGGTTTTGAAGACCCTCTCAACAGCGCCTTGGCTGGGATGATGTAGCTGGGGCTGGGGCTGGGGCTGGTCCTGCTTGGAGCAGGGGGCTGGACTAGATGGGACCTCTTGAGGTCCCTTCCAATCCTCATTTTCTATCATTCGATGATTTTAGGTCTCCTGCGTTATTAATATCCTATTAATTAACATTTGATGATTGAAGGCCTTGCTTTAATTCTGCACTTGAGTGTAACAACCACGATTGCGCCTGGATAGCGCATGGGGAAGCACTGCACAACTGCCTCTTCCCGAGGAAAGCCGCTGAGGACGGGTCTGCTACAGGCCTGCTGCGCTCGGCGTCCCGCTCCCTGCAGCCAGCAGCTCCTGCACCTTGTCGAGTTCATCGATCGTCTGCTTCAGGCCAGCAATTGCCTCCCGGATCTTGGCCGCCAGCTCTGTCCTGGCGCCTCTGTGGAGCTCCACAGCATCCTTCACAGTGAAGAAGATGTCTAGCGCCAGGGTGACGGCGGTCATGGCGTGCAGGGCGGCTCCTGCGAACCTTACCACTCGCCCAGCTCTGGCCAGCAGCCCACCGGCTTTGACCATCTGCACAGCGTTGTTAGTGGCCCGCCCGGTTCCTCCCAACACTACAAACAGCAGCCTCAGGTCTTTGCAACCAGCAGCCGCAGGCCTTCCTTCTTGTTCCCAGATGCCGATGGTCTTCACGTAGTCCTGGATGAGTCCCAGCTCAGCCTGGCACTGCTTTAGGATCTCTTGTAGGGTGGTACCCCCGCCGGCGATCCCCACCGCCCCTCCGGTAATGCTTGCTATCGTGGCTCCTTTGTGAACCTTGTCCACAGCGTCGGCGATTGCCTGGAGCGCTGCTATGTGCTGCTGCAGCCTGTCCCGGGCCAAGAGCAGCCTCTCCCTCAGCTCTTCCCTGGCGTTCGGCCCGGCTGATGTGCTAATGCAGAAAAGAGAGAGGAAAAGGGGGAATTATGTCCTGGGTCCGAGCTGCTGGTGCCGGTGCGACACTGCCATGTGTCTGCGCGGGAGTGACATCCTGCTATCCCGGGGCTGCGTCTGGTCCCCGGTGCCAACGGTGCTCCGCTGTGAGCATGTCTCGTGTGGGCAAATGCCCCAGTTTAGCTTGGGGCCAGGCTGTGGCAGGGCAGCGGTGCATCGGCAGGGCCTGCATCCTGCCTCCAGCCCCACCAGGAGCAGGTGAGTTGGGGCAGGAGAAAGCCCCGGGGCAGCCCTGCCCTGCCCTGCCCTGCCCTGCCCTGCAGATGTTTCTGCCCCCTCCCAGCTGTGAGCCCTGCCTGTGGCCTGAACCCACAGGCTGCTTCACTCCCAGAAGACTTCACCCCCTCCCTTAACCACGGGCTTGTCCTTCCCCACAGCTGGACGAGGCCGTCTTTGAGGGGGGTGAGAGGATCCAAGAACTAGGAGCCGGTGCCGAGGGGCAGAGGTGCAGCTGGCTGCTCTGGGGCTGGGGCTGGTGCTGGCCGACGCTGGAGAGCAAGACGGGGCCCTTCCCTGCACCCCAGCGGGTGCTGCAGCGTCGCAGGAGCCCTTCTGCTGCCCCCGCTCGATCTGTGCCTGGAGCTGGAGCTGGAGCTGGAGCCCTGCCGGTCCTGCCCTGGCTCTGCCGTGGTGCGCAGGGGCCCCGACCGCGGCTGCAAGAATCACGGGGCCGACACATGTCCAGCAAGTTGCTAGCATGCAGAGCAATTTTCTACTGCAGAAAGTCGAGGCGCGACTTGGGGATCACCTGTCCCGGGTCTTGTTCTGACCAAGAGGGACGGCTCCGCTGTGAGCGTGAGGGTGAAGGGCACCTCGGGAGGACGTGGTCACGGGCTGAGAGATGCCCTGGCGGGGAGCCAGACTAAGGCACCGGGTGTCGAAGGAGCAGGTTTCAGCTGCCGCGGAGGAGCAGCAGGGGAGGTCCCACGGGGAGACAGACGGATGCAGGGGCGGCTGACCCGTGACCCACGCGCTGCGAGTGGCCTGGGCAGCCCGTGTGTGGCATGCGGCAGACAGGGCGGGGGGCAGCAGCACAGGTAGGGCAGGGGCAGAAAGCAGAGCAGCAGATCAGGCAGGAGGGGTATCGCAGTGGTGCTTGGGGAGAGTGCAGGGCTTATTTTGTGGCCCGCTTGCCAGAAAAGTTGGCATCCACCGGGATACATGAAAGGGGCCCAGGAGGGCGGGTGGTTTCTAACGGGCGGGGTGGCCACCCTGCAGCACGGGCAGCCTCGCCGCGCTGCAGAGGGGGAAGATGGGGCCGGGAGCAGAAAGCAGAGCAGCTGGTCAGGCAGGGAGCGTTGGGCTGGGAGCAGAAAGTGGAGCAGCAGATCAAGCAGGGGAGGAGTGTCAGGTGTGCGGGGGGGTGCTTGTGGCACACCTGCGAAGCTGAAGCGTGCGTTGGGACGAGAAGGAGGGATCTGCTGAGCGCGCTGGCAGGGAGGGCCCGCGGCCCCACGGCGAGGTGCCGGCTTGCGCTGGGGTGTTGACAGCGAGGGAACAGCTTGATGCCGCTCGGCCCCCGTCCTCGGTGAAAATAAGAAACCTGGAAGCAGGCGCTGTCCAGCCAGCATGGGGGGAGGCATTGCGACAGCCGAGCAGACCGTCGGGGGCTTCTCGTTTGGTCTGAAGTTCAAGTTGCTGCGGCCCGACCAACTTCACCGGGCACCGAAGGAGCTGGCAGAGCGGGTCTCGGAGCCCGTGGCAGTCCCGGGAATGCAGAGATCCAAAGGCCTGCGAAGGGCCAACATAGTGCTCCTCCTTCAGAGGCAAAGCAAGGCAGCCTGGGGTTATGGACCAGTTTGCCTGACTCTGCTGCCTGGGAAATTACCGGCGTGGGCTAAACTGGTGGCTGCCCTTGGTTTATAATGTGAACATGGCAGGGTCTGTGGCTTGGGTCCAGCTGCTGGAATATGCCTGAAGTGGCACTGTGCTGCTGCAGAGAGGGGCTTTGGATCCTGCCACGGCTGAGCATTGGCTTTGCAGCAGGAGGGGAGCAGGTGGCTGTGGACAGCTGGTGGGTGGTGGCACATGTGGGTTGTGGGAAGTGTGTCACGATGCACTGACGATGGCTTCCCTCAACGGCCACGACTCGCCGCCAAGCAGGTGCAGCATGCCAGGGCCGAGGGCAGCCGCGCCGGCAGCTCTGTTGCCTTTTGCCAGGTGCTGGCACAAGGGGATGATCAGCCCCAGCTTTGGGCACAGCTCCTGCCACAGCTCTGGAGACTGGCCACGCACAAGACAGAGCAACTGGGACCAGGCTCCTGAAGTGCTCATGGGAAAGACGCGATGGTGAGAAGCCCCCAGGCCGGGCCCACAGGCGTAAACCCCTGGGACATGCTGCACAACCCGCCTTGCTCTGGGTCGCTGGGACGTTCTCCATCTCTCTTCCCTCCCAGCAAAGGAGCTCATATCCCCTGCAACTGCGGGCAGGGACGGCCCGACAGCCCCTGTGCCGGCCCGCTGCAGGGCGAGGAGCTCGATGACCCCGGGGAGTCTGCAGGCCAGGTAGGGAGACACTCTTCATGGCACCGTTGGAGGCAGGGGTGCGGTGGTGGGAGCTGCAGGTGCCAGCGCCGCCCTCCCTGCGCGAGCCCTGGACCCAGGCCTGGGTTTCACCCTCCAAGGGCTGCTGGGGAAGCAGGATGGGCACTGGTGGAGGCAGAGCATTAGCTGGTCCTGGCATTGGTGCCAGCTCGGGGCAGGGGCAGGACTGGCCCTGGGGGCTCCCAGTATCTGGAGGCATGGGCAGGGCAATGGAGGATGCCTCCTGGGCAAAACCAAGGAGCCTCCTCCCACCCCCAGGTTGCACCCGCTTGTGCAACAGCCCCCGTGCGAGCTGGCTTCTAGCCCTGGTGCAAGGAGCCGTTGTTCAGGCCCAAGGAAACTGCCCCACTTGGTAGTTACCACTATTTCTCCCGGCTCGTCTGCCTGCGGTGCGGGGGGCAGGGCTCGGCCTGCCCCAGTTCCAGACCGTGCCCCTCTCCCTGGCTCGGTTGGGCCCTGCAGGCGTGCGTGGGGTGTTTGTCACACGTGGCCCGGGTGCGGGCTGCACTTCCCAGCAGGGATTTGGGGGAAGCTCGTGGGGCAGCTGCCTCCGCGCCCAGCTCTGGGAAGGGGCAGCCCAGGGGCCAACCTGAGCCCCAACTCACCTGAAGCCGGATCTCTTGCTCCCCATCTCACTGCACTGGGGGCATGGGCAGGACAGCGAGCGTGCGGGGATGTAGGCAGAGGCCGGGGCGGCTGCGGTGCCTTCCCAGAGCGGCTGGAACCGGCTCTCCCGCTGCCCCTCCTTTAGATGCCGGAGCTGTCCGCGCCCTGCTGCCCAGCCCGGCTTTGCGGGGGGGCCTGGGAGTGGCAGGTGCTTCTGGTTTCGTATTACTGGAAAAGCAAACTGGTCCAGGGGAGCGGCAGCGGCTTGGCAGACGAGGGCCTGTGTGCGCTGCTGGCCGTAGCCCGGACAGACCCGCACCCGCAGGCTGGCCGTGGCCCGAGCCGACAGGCCCCGCTGCAGAGCAAGGCGTCTGCTGGAGGGGACGGTCCCAGCCTTGGAAACGGGGCTGGGGGGTCACTCCTGGGGCTCGTGCTCTGGCAGCTCGTTGACAGCGGTCCGGTCTGGCGGGGGCCACCCGCAAGCACCTGGCAGCCTTGAGCGTGCCAGTCCTTGTGCCATCCGAGTCGTGCTGGCTTCACGTGCGCCTCTAAGCGCGATGGGCCCAGGCCCAGAAAAGGTCCCTGGGAGGGGCCGCGGGGGTCTCGCTTGGGACCCTGTGTGTGCGGCTGAGATGGGGTTCGGGGTCCCGGATTCACAGCACAAACCCAGAGACTCCCGCTGGGAAACCGGCCGTCACAAGCGTCCTAGATGGCTGCAGCCTTTGCAGCAGAAGAATCGCTCTAGGGTTTTCCCAGAGAAACCGGGGAAAGCCAGAGCTGGCATTTTCCAAGAGGTCCTGCGGTCCGAACAGGGCGAGGACCGCCGGCCTCGAGGGCTCCGGCTCTTTGTCCAAGTCCTCTTGGATTCTGCGTCCCTTGGAAGAAGCTGAGCCAGCGCAAGCGCGGGTCGGGCCGGAGCAGAGACCCCCGCTCCCTCAGCTGTGGCGGGGCAGCGGTGGGGCGCGCCCCCTGCCTCAGTGCTTGCTGGCCGTAGCCCGGACAGACCCGCACCCGCAGGCTGGCCGTGGCCCGAGCCGATCGGAGTTGATGCGTCGGGGGTCCCTCTCCCGGGCTCGTGCCAGGAGCGGCTGATGCCTTTCTGCAGCGGAGCGGATGCTGGCACGGCGGGCTGGGCTGGGCTGGGCTGGGCTGCGTGGCGGGGGCACGGGAGGGCAGGGGCAGGGCGTCAGCTCTGCAAGGGCCCTCGGGGATTTCCGAGCCCAGGAGCGCCCTGCGGCTGTTTGTCTGCTGTGTCCAGGGGAATGAATGGGAGGCTCGGTGCTTTCCTTGCCAGGATCCAGCTCGGACCTGCTCGACTCACCCGGCGCTTTGTCCTTCTCCCCATGGCAATGCCCCAGCAATGGCCCCAGCTCGGCAGCGCCGCAGGGCCTGGAGGAGCCGAAGCCTCGGTCGGATCCGTCTCCTACGCCGTCAGCCTGCTCGCAGGCGAAGCTCCCCGGCGTGCAGCCGCCTCGGCCCTGGCAGAGGTCCCCGGCTAGAGGGTCTTGACCTTCTGCTTAGGGCCAGCCCGACGCCGCGCCGGGGAAGAAGGAATTTCTCCCCCTCGATACGGACTGGGGTGCAGTGGTGGGACAGCCACGGCCTCTGCCTGGGGTCTCCTGAGCATTTACTGACATTGTTTCAGGACGTGGGCTGCTCCCCCATGGAGCCTGCAAGAGAGACCCTGCCAGACTTGAGGACCAGGGGCTCTCTGCTTTCCCTGCGGGAGGTTCAGGTGGGATGTCGAGGGGAGTGGGGTCGAGTTTAGGCGACGGTTTGTCTGGGGGGCCGGGCGGTCCCTGCCAGCCCCACTTCTCTGCGACTCGGCGAGAGCCCCGGACCCCGGGGTGAGAGCTGCAACCACAGCAGGCTGCAGCCAGGACGCCGGGTGTCGGGAGCCTGCGCTCCAGGGCCCGGGGCTCATCCTGCTACGGGGAGAGGCCTGCAACGTGTGTGTGATTGCTTGCGCTCTGCAATGCGGGGGGACTGCGGCACGTGTGGGATTGCGCGTGTGCCCTGAGGGGCCAGGCTCATCATGCACGTGGGGATTGCGCGTGCGTCATATGGGGTGGGCCCTGCCGCACGTGTGGGATTGCGTGTGCGCCCTGAGGGGAGGGGTCCTCAACACGTTTGTGATCGGGGCCCGCAGTCTGTGTAGGATTACATGTGCGCCACTAGGGCGAGGCCTGCAGCATGTGTGGGATTGCATGTGCGCCTCGTGGGGCAGGGTCCACAATACATGTGTGACTGCGTGTGTGCCATGACAGGTGGGGCCCACGACACGTGGGATTGTGTGTGCGCCACGAGGGGCGGGGCCCACGACGCACATGGGATGGTTGCGGCGGGGGGGAGGGGGTTGGTGCCGGGACAGGCCGGTCCCGTGTGCGTGGGGCAGGCCCAGTGCTGGGGTTGCCCTCCTGGGGCAGAGCAGACGGGCGGAGGAGAGCGGCACAGGGCTGTGGGGAGTGGTTCCACAGAGACCCCAGCCCAGCCCAGCCCTCGCGCAGCGACCCCAGCATGGCTGGGCCACAGGTCCTGCCCCCGGGAACCGTTCTGTGTCTGCAGACGGGATGCCATGCCGCGCCGCGCCGCGCCGCCCTGCGCCGCACCGCACGGCAGAGCCTGTCTGCCCCCAGGTGCCTTCTCTCCTGCCCAGAGCCTCGTCCCGCAGGGGCTGGTCAGGGGACGAGCCCTGCTTGGAGGCATGGCAGAGAGCCCCTGGTCCTCGAGTCTGGCGGGGTCTCTCTTGCAGGCTCCACAGGGCGGGAGGCCGGGATCTGGACGGGTTCTTGCCCCGGGGATGGCTGGGCACGCGCAGGTTGCACCAGACCAGGGCCCTGCGGGGGCTGGAGGCGCTGAAACCCCTCCGGCGCCGGCTGTAATATGCTGGGCACTGACACGGCTCGTATATCGACAGCCCCTGGGCTTGCGTGCGGGGCTTTGGTGATACTTAATGGCCTGTGCCACAGAGCGGATGGCGGTGCCGGCATCCCTGCTCGTCTATGAAATAGTGGACTCTCTAAATGAGCCAAGTTTTAGCTAATTTGGTTTGGCCGTTTCCCAGTGTGCACATCTGGCGCCTCGCCTGGGGAAGCACCCAGGAGCTTCCTGGCTTTCTTAACAAGCGCAGAACACAAACTTCTCAGCACCTCTTAACTTCTGCTTTGGGCTGAGCCCAGCGTGGGAAAGGCCCCGGTCTGCCGGGAACAGTGTCCCGGGGGCAGAGGGTGATGTTAACAGGCAGGCTGCCCGTGAATCTAGCACGTGCATGTTCCCACCTGCTCTGATCTGTGTACAAACAATGCAACAAACACCACTACTGACTGCAACCCGCCACCTCATTTTAGACCTTCCTTGAATCACGCGGTGACACGCAACAACTGTGATTGTGTTGAACGGTGACTGGGGGGTGTGCTCTGTGAATCACCTCCCAGTCAGACGGGCACGGCGGTGTGACGTCCGTGGTCCCCGAGTCTCACTCGCTGGGAGCTGACCCTGCGGCGCTGCCCGTTTCCTCGGGGTCCGGTTCGGGTTTCTCCCCGGTCAGCACCTCATACACGTCGTTGACTTGGTCGATCACTTGCTGCAGTTCGGCGACTGCCTCTCGGATCTTGTTGGCCAGCTCCGTCTTGGCGCCTTTGTGGAGCTCTATGGAGTCCTTGGCTACGAAGAAGATGTCCAGGCCCAGCGTGAGGGCTGTCAGGACGTGCGTGACAGTTCCTGCGAATCTCGCGACGCGGCTGGCGTTAGCCAGCAGCTCTCCAGCTCTGACCATATTTATGGTGTTGAGAATAGTGCGCCCTGCTCCGGCCCCGATCTGCGGGATTGCAAACAGCAGATTGAGCCCGGCACCGTCTTTGGCCTCTTGCACCCGGACTGAGACGTACTCCATGTACTGCTGGATTAGCTGCACCTCAGCCTGGCACTGGCCCAGGAGCCCGTTGATCTCCTCCTTCTTGACCCGACTCTGCACCATGTCGGTGGTGGTCGCTGCCATGCTGGTCAGCCCGCCGGCTGTGGAGACACCGAGTCCCACGAGGGAGACGATCAGCGATGCCCCGAAGGTCACGGGGGCGAGGCAGAGCCCCACGATGGTGGTGACCCCGCCGGCGATGCCCACCGCCCCTCCGGTAATGTTTGCTATCGTGGCTCCTCTGTGAACCTCGTCCACAGCGTCGGCGATTACACGGAGCGCCGCTACGTGCTGCTGCAGCCTGTCCCGGGCCGGCAGCAGCCTCTCCCTCAGTATTTCAGGAATGCTCAGCTCTTCTAATTTGCTAACGGAGAAGAGACAAAAAGGGGAAATTATTTCCCAGGTCCCAAACATCAGCTTCTGTGTGGTCCCATCATGTCCCTGTTACCTTGCACAGGGGCTGGGTCCTTGTTACCAAGGGCTGAGTGTGGTTGTAGGTGACAGGTGTGAACATGTGTGCCCTGATTATGTGGGCACAGGATGTTGTCCCTATGGAGCAGAGCTTGCTCACTGAGCCACCCAAGGAAGTGGCAGCGGCTCATCCCCCTGCCACGTGCGCGGATGTCACCTCTCGGCCTTCGCGTGGCTCAGCTCCCGCAGCCTGCCCCGGTCACGCTGGCAGGGGTTCCCAGCACCTCCCAAATGCGCTCCACTTCGGCTGCCACCTCCCTGGGTGCGCTCGATCCCTGGCCCTGTTGTGTGACTCACAGGTGTTGTCCCTACGTGTGTGGTCTTACATGTCATGTGGCTCAAATGAGTCCGACTGACCAGGCTGTCACTGGCCTGTCCCCATGCTACTCCCTGCTCTTCTTTGTCCTCCGCATGTTGGACTGCATTTTCGTCCAGATCATTGATAAAGATACTGCCATTAGGGTGGCGTCAGGCCAAGAAGAGATCGTGGGGGCTGGGGCGCCTCGGACTGCTGGCTTTTCTTTTAGCTGGGCAGTGTCCCCCCTTTGACAGGTCCCCGGACACGGGGAATAAGAGGACGCTTCTTACAGGGTGCTGGGGCCTGCTGGGCACTCGAACGGTTCACCCGTGCTACACGTTACAGATATCCGACAATTAACTGGTTAATCATGCAATCAATTTAGACTGGCCACATGTGCAAAGTAAGACCAGCCAAAAGTGCAAAGTAATTATTACACAATTTACTGGTTAATCGTTCCATAAATTTAGACAGGCCACCTGTGCCAAGTAATTATCACAGGATACAAATGACTCTCCGGCTATAACAAAAGCCAACCAGCTATACGATTAGTGCTTGACGTGTAAAACAACTCTCCGACTGGTTCCTGTCCAGATGAAATTGGAACGTGTAGCAGGGCCGCGCTGCAGACCGACATTACTCACCCCAGGTCGTTCGGAGGAGCGAAGAGCTCGATGGGCACGGCGCTCTCGCAGACGGAGCTCCTCGCCGTCTCCCCGCAGCAGGAGTATCTCCCTTGCGCGTAGTCTCCCCGGTGCCGCAGGGTCACTTCAAACTCATACTCCGCGTTGTTGGCGCTGGGCAGCGCGTTCGGCAGAGGAACAAACCGTGGACTGGCCGGGTCGGGCGAGCTGGTTTTCACCATCGGCCCCTTGCAGCCGACGTAGATGCTGACTGGCTGGTAGGAGACATCCTGCGCGCCCAGGAAGTGCGAGGCCTCGTGGATTAAAATCCCCGGCTGCGAATCCTTGTCAAGGTGCCTCGGAGCCTCCCAGAATCGCGGGCCCAGGTAAATGGTTTTGTCTCCATGTTTCTGGCTGCTCTTTGCAAGAAGGTTTCCCCTGGAAGGATCCTCCACCAGCTTGGCTTCCTGCAGCACCAAGATGAGGTCTCTCACCCGCTGCTCTGTCAGGACCGCGAACCGCTCCATCCACAACTTGGGCTCTTCACAGTCGCAGCAAATCAGGTGCCGGGGCGTCTCCATGAGCACACGGTCCTTCTTCTTCAGGGCGTCTCTCAGGATGTCCAGCGCGCTCTGCCTCGCTGCTTCTGCGATGCTCTCCTTCCCTTTGGCCAGGGGGACACCTCTGTCATCGCGGTACGTTTTATAAGTGTAGCATGTTCTTCGGTTTGCTATCTCGCTGCACACCGTGACTTCCTGGAAGCTCATCCCCTGTGCAGACATCGCCCATATGCTTCAGTCACAAGCAGCTTTCCAATGCGAGCCCTGCAAAAGCACACAGATTTGACTTTTGTTTTAGCACCAGTGCACCCGACCCCCCGCCCAGGCTGAAGGACCGTGCAGTGTGGGTGAGAACAAGATGCTTTAAGGCCTTCCCTGGGCTTCCCTCTCAGGTGGCGGGGCTGCAGGAGAGAGCTTGGGGGAACAGGACAGAAAGACGGTGTCCTCTGGGTTTTCATGCCTCTTGCCAGCCCCGGGAGGCAGGCGCGGCTGGGAGAGGGCACGGGTGGTGGCTAAGGTGGCCGTCGAGCTCCAGCACGGCCTCTCTCTGCTCGTCTGGCTGGCCCCGCGTTGAGCCAGGGGTTTAAGTATTGGTCTCACTCTAACTGCTGAGTTGTAGCTACTTAGACTAAATAGGTTAGTTGCTCTTAATTAAAGAAAGAGCCTACCTTAAAGGCTAGAGGGGCACGGCAAACTGCCCCATTCACTGCCCCTGTTTGCTCACCGAAGCCCCCGTACCAGGAGGCAGAGCGGCAGGTTGAGGACAGGCTGCAGGGGCAAAGTCCAGGCTGCCGTGCAGCAAACCCAGGTTAGGAGACAGGCGGCACCTGGGCCCTGGCGCAAGGCGAGGGGGTCAGATGCCAGGAGGAGGAGGAGGTGTGGGGCTCCGGGCTAGTCCGGGCCAGCCGTGCTAGCAGAGGGAGCTCATCAGGAGGGCAAGCCTCAGGTAGCGAGAAGCTGTGCGGTTCCTTGTTGGTGTTTCCTCGTTGGCTCGTAACTGAGCCACGAGGCTCGGGAATGGCCGAAGGGCAGGAGGAGGCTGCCGAGGGCGCTCGGGAAGGTGCTGCCGTGACCCTGGTGCAGGCTCCGGCCAGGCCTGGGCACTGCAAAGAGGACCCAAGAGCCCAGAGAGGCTGAGGAAGGCCTGAGAGCCCAGTGCTGGAGGAAGGGGAGGGGTGCAGACTGGCCACCGGCCATTTACGGATGGTCTCCCAAACCCAGCTGGGGGGCCTTGATAGGTCTGGCTGGCAAGAAAGGCGAAGATGCCAGAGAATCTGTCAGGTGCTGGCGGGTGGCCGGGGTGCCCTGACCCCCTGGGCTCCTGCATCCTGCTTAATTGGACTTGGTTAAGACAGGAGGCTAAAACAATCCTGTGCTAAACGGTGGCAAAGTCGTGTGCTCAGAAGGAAGCGCAGCCTTGGGCTGTGGCACCCAGCGGGACTCGCTGCCGGCTGCTGGTGGGGCTCCGCTGGAAGCCTGCGTCCGGCTCTGGATGCTGCGTTTTGTGGAGGACGCGGAGACGATGCAGCGGCTCGGCGGTGCCGGACAGCAGTGGGGTGGGGGCTGCACAAGGAAGGAGGCATGCTGTGTCTGGAGAAAAGGTGCGGACTCGGGGTGGGGGCTGCGCTAGCATCTCCCGCTAGAACCAGAAACGCGGCCGGAAGGGACCGTGGGAGGCACCTGGCCAAGGCCGGAGCATCCCGTCTAGACCCCGGGCAAGCGTCCGTCTGACCTGCTCTGAGAGCTTCCAGCAGTGGAGGCCCCGTGGCCGCCGCAGGGATCTGCTCCTGGGCGCAAACGGCCTTGGCGTCAGGAAGCACCTCCTCGTGTCCCTTCCAAATCTCCCTTGCGCTCGGAGCCCCTTGGCTCATGTCCCCACGAACAGCAGTTGATCCCTGCCCTCTTTACAGCAGCCCTTCTGTATCCTGCTTCCCCCAGGGCACTGTTGCGGCGAGGGCTGGCGCTGAGCGCCGCAGGACCACAGGGTGGTGGCCCCCTGGCCAGCCTGCCGTGGGCTGGCAGGGCCTTGGGGGAGGCAGTTCCCCAGTGCAGGGCACGGTTCCTGGCCACATCTGGGGTGCCCTTGCCCCCAGCCCTCACCAGAGCAGTCTGGGCGCATCCAGAAAGCTGCCCACAGGGAGAAGCGCCCGGGCGGGACCGGCGGGGAGACACACGGTGCTGGGATGCGCTGCGTCAGGAGGGCAGGGGATGCACGTCACGGTGGCAGCGGGGCGACGAAGGCACACCCGGTCCTGGTGCTGCCTGTGGTGCCCTGGACACTACAGTAAGGGCGGGCCGGGGCCGGGGAGGTGCCGTCAGCTGGTGTTTAGCCCAGAGCTAAATCGGTGACAAGCCTGCAGCAGGGCTCAGTCCCCCCCGGGTGCTCTTGGGGCCCCGGCAGCGCACGGAAGGGCCGGGTTTGCCGGAGTCACGGTGCCGGCAGGGCAGCGGGAGTGCTCCCCAGGCCCCTGCCAGCTTGGGGCGCGGAGGAATGAGGAAACTCCCATCTGGGCTCTGAAGCGAGCACAGCCCCTTCCGTCCCGGGGCGGTGGCCAGGCTTGTGACGCGTGACTCATGCTGGCACGGGTTCAGCTGCGAGGGATCTGGAGCTGCAGGCTTCATCGCACCCCCGACCCCTCTCCCTGCGGGGAGAGCCCACAGGACGGTGGCCCCACAGTGACCCGCCACGGCTAGGCTGTGCCTGCATGGCCCCTGCTTTCCCAGGGCTGCTCTTCCCCTCCGCTCCTTTCAGAGCAGGGATCGGGGCCCGCAGGCCAAGCCGAGGCCTGGGCTCACCTGAGCAGGGTCTTGTGCTCTGGGGCACGTGGCAGCAGTGGCTTGATGCTCTGCTCCAGGGTCCCACGGGGGCTGCAGAAATGCGGTGTGCAGGGGGTGGCAGAGGCTGAGGTCCTGTGCCTGGAGCAGAGGGAGACAGTCCGTCCGCCCCGGCTCCTCCCGTGCTCCGGTGCCCGCAGCTCGGCTGTGCAGGGGTGGCCGGGAGCGGCTCCAGCTCTCGGTTTGCAAGACCGGGTCAGGTGGCTCAGGGCTGGCCCGCGCAGCTCCTTCCTCCTCCTCCCCCTGGGCACAGCAGGGAACAGCTGTGCTCAGGGTGACTCCTGCTTGGGAGTCCCGTCCCGCCCCACCCTGCCTCGTCCCTGGGGCAGAGGCCTCGTCACAGCTGTGTGCCATACTGGGGGATGTGGGGGCAAGGCTGGAGATGGAGGGCTGGAGGGCAATTCAGTGGTGCCGTTTGTATCTGAACAGGAAGGGAAACGTCTGCACGGGGTGGAGGCTGCCAAGTTGAAACCGTGCCCAGGGCCCGAGCCGCTCCGGAGAGAGCAGCCTTCTGCCCATGCCTGTGTGGGGAGCGATGCTCCCGCTGCCTTTGCCCTGGGGGCTGTGCCCCCGTCTCCCCAGCTCTGATGGGGTTTCCTGGGGACTTGCTGCCTCGAGCCCTCGGGTCAGCATCAACCCTCGAGGCACGGGGCTGGCGGTCACCAAGGAAGGCACAAGACCCCAGGGGTCAACCCCACTCTGGCAGACGTTGCCCCTGTGCTTGCCAGTGGGCCCGGGCCTGGTGGACGACCACAGGGCCCCTGCAAGCAGGCTGCAGTCATGGGATCTCCAGCCTGGCTGCCCCCGGGAGCTGAGGAGCAGGTGGGGGAAGCTGAGGCTGGAGGGGTGGGTAGGATGGATCCTGCACTAGAGCAGGGGGACAGCGAGCCTGTCCCAGCCCAGGGGTGGGGGTGTCCAGGCTGTGCGGGCACCCAGAAGTGACCAGAGACCCAGCAGGAGGGTCCTGCGCTGCTGCCCAGGTCAGACCCAGCACCAGGTGTGGGGCAGGAGGGGTTGCCAGTCTGCTGTGGGGGCAGGGTCCTCTGAGTGTCTATGGACCGGCTCCTTTTTTGCTGCTGCAGGGCAGGCGCTGGTGGTGCCCGCATCGCCTGCTCTCTCCCGGGTGCGCTGCAGGGGCACTTGCCTCGCACGGGGCTCGGGGGCTGGGTGGGGAGGGCTGCAGGGGGCAGTTGGAGTCCGGGTGCCCACTCGGCCCTGACCCCTTGCAAGGAGTGTCTGACCCCCTTTCTGTAGCAGAGCCGGGGAGGGAGCATCCCTGCCCATGCGGGTCGGGGACGGGCCGCGTGGGAAGGGGCAGGGGAGCACCGTGCCGGGCTGCGGGGCAGGGCCTCAGTGTCTGGCTCTGGGTGAGGAAAGAGCCCGCTGCCCAGCATGGGGACTATTTGATGTCCTTTTTCACAGCCGGATAGCTTCATGACTTTGGGCCGTCTGCGGTCTGACGGCCGGCAGTGGAATGCGGCGTCCGGTGCTGGTGCTGGTGCTGCTGCTGCTGCGCCGCTCCGGACAGATGTTTTGTCCAGCAGAGAGAAAAACAAAACAAAACAGGGGCCGCCATTCATGCTTGGATGGCTGGGCACCAAAGGAACATCAACTGAGTGCTTGGGACAAATAAAAAGAAAACAGGGTGTGCAGGTGAGGGTCAAAGGGCCAAAACGAGCGCTCTCCCAGGGGACACCGAGCAGAGCACCCCAGACAGCGCCCCCCGGCTCACAAACTGAGGGAGCTCGCTGGCGGCTACTGCACAGTGGTACTCTGCTTGGAGACATGCACGGAGGACACCGAGGAAAAACGCCCCGAGGTGACCCGGAGCCTTCCCGGCCGGAGCCTCCTTCTTGGATAGCCAGATGACGAGCTTGGCCAGAGCCAGGAGGAGGTTGACCAGGAGGTCCCGGGCCTTGGTGGGGCGACGGATAGGGTGTGCATAAACCAAAATGTGCGGGGAGTAGTGCAGCCAGAACGTGAGCAGCAAGCTCTGGAGGAGGAGGTGCAGGGGCTGCAGCCTGGCGCACTCAATGACCATGTACGCCAGGGTCTCCCTCTGGTGACAAAACGGACACTCGTCGGAGACCGTGTCGATGCACGCCAGATACACGCCCGTCGCGACTGTGGCAGAAATGCCCCGTCGGTGCCCCTCTCCAGAGACCTGTCTCAGCCAGCCTGAGAGGCTGCTGTTGAATCCCTCACAGCGGGGATCTCGCTCCTTGTCTGCAGACAAAAGCCTGGCGCCCGGGAGGCGATGCTCTGGTCACCTGGGCGGGGAGGAAAGGCCCGGCCTGCGCGCGGGCCCAGGTAGCCAGGGATGCCATGCAGATTGGACGGTTTGTAGCCAGTATTGGCAGCTTCGATTGGACCGGGCTGCTGAGGTCAGGGAGGTTATTTAAGGACCCCGGGCGAGGAAGAAGGGGAGCCATTATCCATGCGGTCATCCAGGTGAATCTGAACCTGGCTCTCTCCTCATCACCGCATGCTGCAAGAGTGCCCTGCCTCCAGAGGAAACAACAACCACCTCTGGATGATGCGAGTGAGTAACCTACTCGAGATCCGATCAGATATTTAGCTTCAGTAACTCAGATGCGTGTTGAAACGGCTACCTCAGCCACCCTGGGTTGCTCTATGGGATTCCTCTGATATTCCTGTAAGATTTCTATGATATTGCTCTACCTTTTACCCTGTTTCCGCCCTACCCCTGCAATCAATAAAGTTCTCCTTTGTGACCGGTGTGGAGACTTATTGCGGGTGGGTCTAAATTATGCCAAGGAGGCCCCTTAGGTCGGTGGACTAAGGGAGGGTTTCCTATTAAGCCCCTGACTGGGGAAGTGCCCCAAGTGCCAGTATTGGGTCTAGCACCCATTGGACGATCAGGCCTGTGTTTTCCAAGGTGCGCAGAGCCAGAAGTGAGTCCAGAGCCTTGGATGGTGGCAGCGGGACCCCAGGCTAGCGGGGGTGCCCCAGGGGAGGGGTCGGCCGGACGGGAGGCACCCCAGGGAGGCACTCGGAGCCTGGGAGGTGGGCGGCGCAGGGAGGTGGGCGGCTCCACGCAGGAGCGCCCCCTACTGGCCCGCCACAGCGACGGCCCCGTGAGGGAGCCGCTAGCCGAGGTCCCCAGCGGCTCTCGGGACGAGCTCTGAGTAGACGCTGAGCCGCTGAGGACCGGCGGCTACGCCCTCGCCAAAGTAGTCCCGCCATTTGGCGTCCTGGTGGGACGCGAGGGTGACGTGGTGGATGGTTCTGTGGACAAGCAAGCCAGCATGGGGAAATGGCCTGGTGTGCCTGCTAACCCTGCAAACCTGCCTGCTCCCTTTGGGCTTTCTCCTCCTCCTCCTCTCTAGGAAAGACCCTTGCAGTGCTTCTGATGTCATCTAACCACCTGGGCCCGGATGAGCCGAGGGCTGGAGCTTTGCTCGGTCTCCTCCTGCATGGCCAGAGCCCACTTAGCAAACAAGGGCAGGAGTCGGGAGCGCCCTTGGCACAGGTTGCGCTCTCAGGACGTGGGTGGCCTGACGAAGACGAGCTGAGGTTTGGGACCTGAGCCAGGAGGCAGGAGACTGCAGCTGAGCCCAGGGCAAAGGAACCGCCTGGCTCTGCGGCAAGGGGTGCAGCAGCCCGTGCTCCCCAGCCCGGTGGGCTTGCCCGGGGCCCTCCTACCCGCCCTGGGGTTGGGGCCCGGGGCATGCAGCCTGGGCAGGGGAGGCCTGTGACAGGTCCTGGCGCGGGGTGACGAGGCAAACTCACGGAGAAGGAGGGATTATGTCAGGGATGGATGGCTGCTACCACACTGGCCCCCGCACCTGCCACACTGGTCGCTGCAATGGGGACCCCGCTTGTCACTGGGGCAAGGAGGAGCCCTATGGTGGTGGCGGTTGTGCCCGCCACCCCTCCGACAAGGCTGGCTACTGTGACGTTTCTGTGAACTCGGTCCACAGCATCTGCAACTACCTTGCCCCGTGTGCCTCGAGCCGCGTCCGGCCAGTGCTTCCACCGCAGCTGCTCTGACACTTGCAGCCCTGCCTCCCTCATGCTTGCAGGTATTTCCCCTCCAGCCTCTGCTGCTTTCACTTTCCAATGCCTGGGCCCAAGCTGGGCCCAAGGGACCCACATCTGTTGTCTCCTGCCAGACCAGCCAGACCCAGCTTGAGAGCAGGAGGCCGGGCTGCGCCAGGGCCCCGCTGGGCACGGCCCGGGGTCGTGCTCTCAGGGCACGAGTGGCCCGACGCTGTCGTAAGAGCGCAGGTTGGCGCCGAGGGCCGGCAGGAAGGGGGACGGGGCACCAGTCGGGTGGGAGCTGCGTGTCTTGCAGGGACAGTAGCCTGGGCTTGTTTGTTTAATTTGGTGTTGCAGGCCAAATTAGCCAAAGCAGTTCTGAATTTATTGATTGAGCAGAACTGAATTGTTCAAGTTTGTGCTGCACTACCGCTGGCAAGTGCCCTCCGGCCCAGCCTTGGGGGTGTCACATACTCCCGGGTCTATGGCAGGTGTCCTGCATGCAGGCTCCAAGCCCGCAGGTCTTGGGTCCAGATGCCCGCGAGTAGCCTGTGCTCCCCGGTCCCGGGCTCATCCAGGGCCTTGCTGCCTGCCCAGGCAGTCGGGGAGCCAGGGGGGCA